AAACTTAAAGGAAAGTTTTATCGTACTGCTATCCAGACCGGCAATGTTATATAGTAGTGAATGCTGGGCTCTAACGGGACAGCAAAGCATAAAGTTGGAGTAGCAGAGATGAGAATGTTACGATGGATGTGCGGACATACACGTAAAGATAAAATTCGAAATGAGCACATACGTGAAAAAGTGAGGGTGGCACCTATTGAGGAAAAAATGGTAGAAAATCGGTTGAGATGGTTTGGGCATGTACAAAGAAGACCAAGGAGGCACCAGTGAGAAGAGTGGAACATATAACTTTGAGTCCGATTAAGAGAGGTAGAGGAAGGCCTAAGAGAACACTCTTGGAAGTTGTTGAACGTGATCTCTTAATTAATAATATTTCTAAAAGATTAATAAATGATAGAGCACAATGGCGTCTTGCAATCCATGTAGCCGACCCCACCTAGTGGGATAAAGGCTTGTTGTTGTTTTGTTGTTTGTTGTTGTAAATTAATGCATCACCGTAAGAAAACTTTTTCAAGCATAAGTAAACTACATCCAGTCAATTAACCATCTAAACTGAATGGAGATACCTTTGAGCTGAAGTCCTCAATTGTTTGCTGAGGTGGATAAAATGGCATCTGTGATTAGCACAACAAAAATCTTACTTTTGATATATATGGAATTTAGAAGTTTGTGAGACAATGTAGTCATATTCAAACATTGACAGCAGCATGTTATACCTGCAATACAAATTCCCCTTGCCTGAGATCATGAGCAACAAGAACCCCAATGGCTTCAGAATTGAAGATGAAAAAAAGCATGCCAGGATTCTCCTTAAGCAAATACTGCCCAAGGTCTTTGCTCAAAAAATGGACACTGACAAGCTTCTGCAAGTCTGTCTCACCTCTCATTTGTATTCCTACAAGCTTTCTCACAGTGCTTCCTGCACCATCTGTACCAACAAGGATGTTACAATGGATTTTCTTCTCCGCGTACTGCCCTTTATTCATCAAAGATGCAGTTACAGTAACAAAATCATTGTTTGCATCAATAGATACACACTCATGACCCATCAGTATTTTTCATTTCATGGGACCGTTCACTTCCTTCTGAGCTTTCAGGTGCACATATTTGGAAGTCTAGAGCCTCAAGCTGCCTAACTAGTAAAGAATTCAGCTTGTACTGTGAGAAGTGTGCAACAGAGACTGGGCTGATAACATGCTCAAGATCTGTATAAGCAAAAAATTATATGAATCTTCCCAGGCTTACTTTTTTTTGTGGGTAACATTACAACGCTTAATATTGACCAGAAAGAACACGATCTTATAGTATATTGGCTGGCAGCAATTTATATATAAAAAATATGTCAAAATTTCACATAAAAATTAAGCTTCCTATTGCCATCAGATACAAAAGCAGGATCCCAGACCACAGAATAGCACCTTGAGGTTGGATGTGATCCACTGATCCAAGAATTGAACCAGAGAGCGAAGTACAGTATACAAACTTCCTCCATAAATCCACAGGTGGTTGAGAGCTTTGGATTTCTTCAACAAGGCCATCAATTTTGCGGAATATCTGAGGTGACACTTTGGTCAAAACTAATGCTTTTGCATGGGGGAAAATTTAAGAGAGAATCTTGCAACAAGAATTTAACCTCCATGGATCGATTGTTAATGAAGTGTGCTTGTGGATGTTTAGAAAATGTAGTGTTTCTCTCCAAAACTGCACATTTAATCCCTACAATGTAACAAAAAGAGTTATATATCTTAAACAGTCATTCAGCTTGAATGAGTGCAGGGTTAATATAAAATTACACAACAACAACAACAAGAAGCCTTATCCCACTAGATAGGATTGGCTACATGGATTGCACAACATCATTATGCAAATGACGTTGTTATATAATGGTTGTGCAAATGACAAACAATTATATAAATGGAAAAAAAATTCATTACGGTCATCATGAATCAGAAACAATTAAAAAATGTGCCAGTGAGTAATTATTGATAATAATTAACAAGAAACCAAACACAACCATTATTAAGACAATTCTTGGCACCAAAAATATAAATCACAGGGAAGAAAACCATTGTTAATAAAACGCCAAATAATCTTATCACAATTGATGTAGGGTCCTCAAATAAGCTGGCACAAACATATCAATGCATCATAATGTGGATACATTTTAATGATCACAAACTATATATTTTGCGATAAACCTTGAATTCAGTGCTAAAAACAGTTGATGCACAAATTTGACAATGCCCTTTTAAAAAGACTACATTACAATAGTATCAACTGAAACTTTGGCAGCTAATACAGTCTGACAATCAAACCAAGAAATGGGCAAATTATAAACAGCAATGCTTTAACTTCACTAGTACCTAATTTAGTTAGAAGAATAGAGAGAACAAGACCGACAGGTCCAGCACCAATGACCAAAACTGGAAGCACTGCATCTCTGTCATTGAAGAGCTCAGACTTCGAGAACCCTCTACTTTGGATGTGCTGAAGTGTGTATACTCTGTTTCTAGTTTTAGCCTTGAATGGGCAGTTATAACTCTTTATAAACCTTAATAATCCCATTACCAACAAACTGCAATTCAGGCTCAGCTATTCCCTGAGATAATTGAAGTTTGAAATATGATCTGAAAAGGAGGAGTAAAACAATCATAAATAAATGAACGAAACAAGCAAGAGTTAAGGGATTTTATTCATCTTTTCTGATAAATTAGAGTTTAGTGCATATGTAATAGTACCGGTTTAAATATCAAGCAACCATAAGCCAACACAATAACATTTGGTTTCTTTGCACTTCATAGTGCTTCTTTTTCATCGAAATCGTTGATTTCACCCTACATTACATAGGAAGCCACGGGTCTAGCGTTACTTTACTGAATCTGGATTGGGAAGACCGATCTGCTGCTTGCACTTGTTGTACATGAGCTCTACCAAAGGCAACAAGAAACCGTAAAAGGTTGCAGCCCTATTTTCATTAAGAACCCTGACATATATTATTTAATGGACTCACCTATGGGATGGCCCCGTGGTGAGCAAGATGTCCACGTTTATGGAGAAAAAGATGAACATTCGCCTAACTAAAACTAAATCTGGAATACGTGGCTTCTTGTACATCGATAGAACCAACTGCTAGGGGATGAAAAAGCAGCTCAGGGATGCAGAGAAACCAAAAACACAACGAAAGTGGAAGAGGGGGGAAATGAATGGGTGCTAATCCATTCAGCTAGGATGAATTATCAGACTTATGGTATCATGAATATAAAGGCCCAAACGCCATTTCAAAACGTACAAATTATGCAAACTCATGCCAATGATAGGAAGAAAATGCAGCAATAATGTAAATAACATGTAATTTTCTTTTGTGATTGCAAAGAGGTGGAGGCTCGAATCTCATGTAGAATGGAAATATACTTACACACACAAGAGAGCAAACAAGCTTACGAAAGTCCACTAGCTGCGTTGGGTTTCCTGAGAGAGGAACGATCCAGAAGGCGACACGAGACCACCTGAACGAGCGCCAAACTTTCACGACTTGATGGACATGGAATTGGAAAAGAAAATGAAATCCTTCAACTCTTCAAGTTTCTTCCGCACCGTTAGAACTGTTAATCCTTTATATATAGAACCGCTGAAAAAAGACTAACGGTGTTAAGAAACACGTTGGCAGTGATAATAAAACGGAAAAGAAATTAGGCAAAAAGAATGAATTACTCCAATAAAATTATCTATAAAATAATTATAAATATCAATTTAAATATTTATAAATAAAAAATTAAATTAACAGCTAATTATTATACTTAAAATTTAAATATTATATTTTATGATTAAAATTTTTAAATTTATAATTATTTAAATTGATAATTATAATTATTTTTTAAAAAAAATCATCAAAAGCTTAAATGTTCTTTGAAAAATTATCTTTGTTAAAATTAAGCCAATTGTATCTGATCCATATATCCCTACCGCTGCAATCTCCCTTGGGGCAGTTGGCCTCCTACAGTCCTGCTGCAACAGTCATCCACGATGCCATCATCACCGAGTTGAACCCTCTCTGCTATGGTGCCTTCGGCAGAGAAAGAGAGTGTGTGTGTGTGAGGGGACCATTAATGAGAAAAATAAAGGAAGAATGATAATTAAGGACCTGTTAAGAATATTAATCTCAATTACAGACCGTGAAATTTTGAAATCAGAGTTAAGGACCATGGTCCTTAATTATGATAAAAAAAATGTAATTTGTGAGGTGAGATTCACTAATGTGACTTGGAAATTCACCAACTCAACTTGAAAAAATTACTAACGTATATTGTGAAAACATGAAACCCCACTTGGAAATGAAATGTTTAACAAAAAGCGCCACTTAGTAATTCACTAACTAGACTTGAAAAAATTTTTAACGTTTATTGTGAAAAAATGAAACCCCACTTGAGAATCTTAATAAAAAGTGACTTATCCAAAGTGGTGTTTTTTATTAAACAATTGATTCCCAAGTGAAGTTTCATGTTTTCACAATATATGTTAGAAACTTTTTCAAGTTGAGTTAGTGAATTTTCAAGTGGCCCTTTTTGTTAAACATTCAATTTTCAAGTGGGGTTTCATGTTTTCACAATATACTTTACAAATTTTCTCAAGTTGGGTTAATGAATTTTCAAATGGCAATAATAAATCCTACCTCACAAATTACATTTTTTAATCACAATTAAGGATCATAGTCCTTAACTGAGATTTTAAAATTTCACGGTCTGTAATTGAGATTAATGCTCTTAGTAGGTCCTTAATTGTCATTCTCCCAAAAATAAATATACACCTAATTTTACAATTACCCACGTTACCCTTATTTATTTGTCTGTAGTGTTCGCTAGAGAAGAAGAAATTGAACCATTGTTGCCGAATCATAGTAAAAGTGAAACAAAGCAAATGGTGGAGCCCAGTGAGAGATTCGAAGCCAACGACGGAGAAGGTGACAAGCAATCACGACGGAGAAGTCAAAAGGTTGAGCATGGTTAGATATGTGACATCATTGACGGTGGCTCACAGTGGACGGCGAAGGTGGGAAGCGGCGACTGCCAGAACCTTCAAACTTTTGACCAAGACATTGGGTGATGTACAAATGGAGACGACAAAGCTCGAAGAAGCTCGTCAAGATGATGCACAGACGGAGAATGTCCACCAGTGAGGAAAGTAGCTTGATGATGCTTGAAGGTGTTCTGAAATTTTGTGAGATATTATGAAGGGAATTTTGGTCAGAAGGATTAATTTACTTGAAAAATATGATCTTCCTAGGGTGTGTGGAGCCATATTTCGTATATCCCTTAAATTCTAATTCCCCAACATTAAATTTCATACTAACCCATCCAAAAAATTAATGATATCTGTTCCATTTCCTCTTCATGTGATCTGTTATGAGAGAACCAAATAGGTAGCGGCGCACAATATTAGGATCGTTAATACTTGACCTTTTTAAACTCAAAAAAATTTAAAACTCAACTTTTATTTAAAATATAAAATGACAAATCATCCTTTTAAGTCTTGAAATAAAAAAAAGCAAGCCCTTTAAAGTTAGGGTGGCCCTTTTAAGCATTTTTATAATTTTTTAAGCTTTAATATTAAAAAAATAAGTATTATATTAATTTTATAATCCTAACCTTATTTTATGAGAGAAAGAAAGAATATATAAAAAACTAAATATTGTTGTCATGATGAGGCTCTATAAGAAAAATGATGAAATTATATTATACTGATGACAATGAAAATCATCAAGATTTAACTGATGATATTATCAAAGTTTGATTGTTATCTGTGTTGATTTTGTCATGTTATTTTTTTTATTAAACTTAAATTTGTTGTTATCTTTATTAACTTAAATTTATTTTTACTAAACTTAATGTTACGTATGATAACTTTTTTGATATTTTAAATATGTTTTTTAATTTTTAAATTGAAAAATAAAAAAATATAGGATCAAGATCCAAGGGCTAGCCTGACCAAATGAAAATCCTGAGGTATAATCAAGTTTAACAAACTAGCTTATTTAAATTCTGACCCTTTAAAATTTAGCTTTATTGACAGCACTACATCATATCGAGCTGCAGTTTTTGTTTTTGTTTTTAAAATTTGCTAAAGCAACAAGGTTCATGAAATTTATGAACTCTTATTTTTTTTTATTTGGGAAAATAGACACTACTTCCCTTAGAGAAATTAGAAAACTAATTTATAGACAGAAATTAAAAAATAATTAAGGCAATTATCTATAAAAAAATTGTATAGATTTTTTAAAAAAATATTATTTTCTGGTCATTTGCGTTAGAAGAACCCCCACTGATTTAAAAAAATTAAAAATTATAATCAATAGGAATAATTTGGAAAGAAAATAAAAATTTGTTAGACAAAATGGATTAAGATCTTTTATTTAGGATCAAATCAACATTTTAACTAATTATTACATTTAGAACAAGCTAATGTTTTTATTTGAAAGAAAATCAGTGAATCGCAGTTTGAATTTAACAGAATTTTGTTACGTTAAAGTAAATAATAAATTTCATGACCAAAAAAGTAAATTGCAAATTATTCTTCAAAAAGGGTAAATTATAAATTGTGATACTTGATCTCATTACATTTTTAAGGTTCATAATAATATAAAGATAAATGTGTATTTTTGATCTTGAAATATTTTTCAAGAAACACTTAATATTCTAAAATATTTGTTAGAACATTTTCACCCCAAAATTAATTAATTAAATCGAACCATCCCCTACCTTACCGTTAAATCCCAATGAACTCTTATGTGATAGACATTTTTAGGGAGTTAATGGCAAGGTAGCGGATGTTCTGATTTAATTACTTTAAAAACAAATATGTTTCAACAAATACTTTAGAATATTAGGTGTTCCTCGGATAATATTTTAGAGTAAAAATATATTTTTTTATGCATGAACAATTCATATTCGAGTATTTTCAAGTGATTATTCTTATATGAACAACAATATCTCCATAATTAACCATAGGCCATGAAAATACTTGAAAAATAAATTTTTAACATATATTATTTAGTATAATATTGATAACCTATCAGTATGAAAGAAATGAGCTATTAAAAAACTTGAACAAGTTAGATTTTAAAAATTAATAATTTTTTTTATATATAAACAAGTCATATTCATATATTTACAAATGATTGTTTGAATATGAACAACAACATATCTATAATTAATAACAACTTATATTAATGCTTGAAAACAAAAGCTATAACTATATATATATATATATATTATATTTTGTAATATATTATCATATGATTTTGATAGTTGAATGGTAAATTATTTTTTGCAACACTAAGGAGTCAAATTTAAATCCCTCCTTCACCCTTTTGCCCCTTTTAACTGGATTTGATCTTCAATTTTAGTGCTGGAGCTCCGACCACCAAGGGTGGTGGCCTCCCTATCGATGGCTAACGCAGTGGCTCCAACTAGAGTAATACTTTTTTTTTTTTGAAAAAAAAGAGGCATTTATAATATTTCAGCAAAAATTTTAATTACCCAAAGGGCCTTGGCCTTGTAGAAGAATTTTAAATTCCTCTGGGCCCTTCATGTAGATAAATTATTTTTAAGGGTTTTCTATGAGAGTCTCCCTTTATTTTTAGAAAAAATGACAATTATGTCCCAAAATTTTGAATTGATGACACTGAAGTCCCTTGACATTTTTTTTGAAAAATTAGTTAAAAATATTAACCTAGATAATTACAAATTTAAAAATTTTTATTATAAATAAAAATTTAAGTATCAAATGTAACTCTTAAATTGTAATAAAAAATTTTATTTATAAATATTTAAATTAATATTTATAATTAATTTTGTAAAATTTTTTTATCGAAGATTGAACTATATTAACCTAATGATTTGGGACCTCATTTTGTTTTCATTTTTTTGGTGCAAGTAGGGGTTAAAAGCCCAGAAAGGGGGGAAGCTGAACAAAACAAACAAATCGCCCACGTTCAAACTCAACACCTAAATAATCATTTAAGTAGGCTCTAATACACATTTAACTAAAAGAACTAAGGCCATATTTGGTATGATGGAAGAGTTTTTAATGGAATCGAAATCGGAATCGGAATTGGAATTGAAATTAGAATAGAATTGAATTTAAAAGTGTGTTTGATATGATGATGGAATCCTGATATAATTTTAATAAAATATAAGTACTTAAAATAAGAAAAGACTAAAGTGTCCTTTTTAAAATTAAAAAAAAATTATATTTGAGGAGAGAAAAGGGGCAAACTGGAGAAAGGGAACCATAGAATTGGATTCCATGATGCATGTGATGGAATTGAATTCTGTCAAATTTTCTTGAATCCTGATTCCAAAGAATCATAATTATTGCATACCAAACACACATGTTAACAGATTCCATATCCAATTCCATTTCTTTCTCCATAATTTCAAGCTACCAAATGGGGCCTAAGATAGTGTAATTATGAATCTTTTTCTATTGGAAAAGTATTAATAACGTTAGTGGTAAATAAAATATTAGTAACCTCATTAAATAACATTTTCAGCATGCTACATCGAATGA